ATTTGAACTACGAGCTCTAATGGCAATATGGACGGACGAGTGGGTCCTCTGACAGATCCATGTACGCATATATGCCACTAAATATATAAGCAGAACTATATTACTGAAAAAGACAAGGGAGACTGGAATGACCCTTTACTACTCTGCCAGTCATACCCAACCTCAGGGTGTGCGACTCACGACGTTCGAACCCGCGACCACGCAAGTTAGAAGTCCACTCCTCTATAAACTGCATACTTCTACCTATAATATATGCTAGTCGTTGAGCGGGTGCTGATGGAGCTTGAGAACGAGTCCTAAGGAGGAAGAAAGTTCCGTACTGATCGGTGAGCGCCCATATACTATAGTGTATATTCCCGATCAAAGAGTCCATGGTACGGTGGTTAGAGTGTTGGACATCTAATTGACATAGTTGCGGGTTCGGGCCATGGGTTTCGCTACCCCGAGATTGGGTATGGCTGTCTGATGACTGTCAATAAGTCAGAAATGGCCATTCCAGTCCCTCCTGTCTTTGGCGGTAATGACATACTACTTAACATTCGCAAACCATTAATTTGCAGCTAACGCATTCGAACGATTGCGCTTTCTGCCTTCATTTCTGTCCTTCTCCCCCGCCTCCGATGTCATCCCCGTTCATTTCCCCCTTTTAGACGAGCTCTCCCTGAAGTTTGGGTTCCTCTACGTGGAAGACGTTGACGGCTCCGCTCCTTCGCCCAACTTGCCCATCCACCTTCTTACTTTGGCCAGTAAGCGAACGAAGTCGTCCACTAAGCAACGACCCAGCTTCAGTATCTTTTACGAACCCCGAAGGCGCAGTATCGTCGCCCTAGGCACCTTCTTCACACCCCTGGAGGCCATTCTGTCCACAGAGACCACCTTGGATTGGATCAGCGTCAGTCTGTCTGTTAAACCCTTCACCGGTGAAGTGCAACTGATCGTAGAGTCTGCAGATGCTAGCACCTCCGCAGTGCCCATAGAAGACCTCGAGGTTGTCAAGTCGCTCGTAGGCGGAAATCCTGGTGAAGTGGGCTTACATGTTGGACCCGTTGGAAGTCCTTTCAGCACAACCACCTTCTTGCAGATCCTTGATCAGGATAGCATACAGAAGAAGACTGAAGAAGAATATGCGGACGACGTGTTGATGGGTGCAGCTTTAAGCAGACCGATCAGGCAGATTCAGCGCACACCCGTGTCTAACATTAGCTTTGAGGATAGATCGAGCTACGTGCGCTACAACTTCCACAATTGGATCCGGGAACCCACCACGGCGGAGAAGGTGGTCCTTGAATTCATTATCCCAGACGATGTCACCTCAGGCCTGTTATGGTTTGTGGAGGATAAGAACTACAAACGTTACATTATCCTCAAGGTTAGTGGTCACATAATATGCCCTTTGATGATTTAATTAGTCAGAATTTGTATGTAGCAAATAGTGCAAAATTTATTGGATCCATAACATCTCGGGAGCGCTCATCAGTTGCAGCCACTCCAATGCTTTAAAAAGTAACGAATGAGAAAATACGAAATTGAATTGGTACAGAAAAGTCATTGGTCATAGTCACTAAGGCTAATTAATAAAATAAGAAGGTTAAAACAAGGTGGAAGGAGAAAATGACTATGACCTGTGACCTTTCTCTACCAATTCAATTTTGTATTTTTCTCATTCGTCACTCTTTAAAGCATTGGAGTGGCTGCAACTGATGAGCGCTCCCGAGATGTTATGGATCCAATAAATTTTGCACTATTTGCTACATACAAATTCTCAGCAGGGAAATTATGCGTTAAATTAGTCAGAAGTTGTATACAAGTGTCGACTGTTTCCGGAAAGACTATGCGGTATGGAAACTATCTTTATAAGCAGCAGTCAAGGGAAAAACAGACTGATTACACACGAGCAAAATTTGTTGGTGTCTTTTGGTAGTCTGTTAATTTAACAAATCAATTTATGTACGGAACAAATCCAGGAAGTCTTTTCGAACATTTCTGTATAAAAAGCCGGTGTATTCGTCTCAGTCTTTACCATGACGATCGGTTATATGTCTCCTATGCAGGAGACGGTACAAGGTGGCTTCTGTGCAGATAAAGACAACTCGGAAGCCAGGAAAATTGAAGAAAACGCGCTAGGTGATAATTATTAGGAGGTTTGGCAGATTTTCTTTATTTGAGTTGAACCGATTGTGGAAAGTAGGTGATAATGGTAAAGGGGCGTTTATGAAAGGATAACGAATCTCTCATCAATTAGACTTTTAAGCGACAAGTCACAACTTCGAGCTATAGGCGTTGTAATTGGGATTGCAACCCCTGGGTTGATCCTGGCTAGCAGATGACGGTAAATAAGCTACAAATGGTCATTCTAATCTCCCTTTTCTTTGACGGTAATGGTCTTCAGCCCATGATACTGACGTGGTGTGCAGTGCTGGCCTAACCAAGGGCTCAAGGCTCTACCGGGCACCGCCGGTCTCGCATTGGTGTCACTCTTCCCCTTTTACCTGCCGCACACGGCCTGTTATAACCGTATGACAGGCTCTCTTATCGATTATCTGTTTGCCTACGAATGCTATGCAGCATGAACTGGCGTGAGAACCTCGTCGCTCATCACCCTCTGAATCCCAGTCCACAGATCAGCCACTTAACCCACAGCATACATTGGGCTGATGGCGTGGT